TATGTAATGCTTAGTAAGGTTGATTGTCAGTTCCAGTAATCTTTTACAAAATTGAAGTGACCATCAGGGCTTGCTTGGAGGCCATGATGGGCTTAGAGTTTGAGCAGGCTACTGGTCAAATTCAGACTACTGTAACAACTCCATCTGCAGCATCGATGAGTGGCCCAAAGGTTTCCATGTTTTCAAGAAAATCTGGATTTGTTATACCAAAAAACAAGTTGTCAGGTTCATTAGTTCCTGTGTTCCGAGGTGGTAAAAAGGGAGATAATGATACAGTAAATGTAGAAGGCACTAAACCTGTTCAAAGAAAAACCAAATGGGGTCCTGACCTATCCATGGATACTTCTGTTAGGAAAGGAAGAGCATTGGCGTATCAGGTACTCGGACTTTAATATCATTATTCTTCATCTTTAATCAATTTCTGTCTAAGATTCCCTCACCTCCCAATTTCAACTGCAACTCAAGATATGTATTGTTATATTACTTTAACTTGGTTATGCTGGTTTGAGGATTCACTTATCTAGTAGGAGTTCAAGTTCATAAAAATATGTTGGATGCACTTACACCCGATATGTGGAATAATTTATTGCTTGGTACAATTAAAGATTTTCCCTTTTGTGTTGAGTGCAAAAATGTCAGGCGTCTTCTATTTAATGGTTTGCATCAAATTCGTATGTAAGGGGCCAAATAAGTGATGATATTGCTGCCTTTTTGGTATTACAAATTTTGGGCAGACTCGGGTTGTTCAAATAACACAACAGCTGAGTTTGGAAACTGAGGAGTCATTATTCGCGTTACAATTTCAAGATAAAAGGTCTTCAACTCATCAGCTCAATAATGAGGTGAGTTGACTTTAAGATACTTCTACTTTGGTCCTTAAACTGTCTTTAACATTCAAAGAACTTACTCTATGATATGTGATTTAGAAATCAGAGTTATTGGAACTTGAAAGGCGTGAAGCTATTGGTATGTACATTGCTGATTGCTACTTGGATTTTTGTGCTCTCTTTCTTTTATGATTTTGTGGTGCACTTTATTTTTGTTTGTTTGTCAACTTTCAGGTGAGATACTAAAGTTAAATCCGAGCTTTAAGGCTCCTTCAGATTACAAACCTTTGCTGAAAGAGGCAAATGTTCCAATTCCTGTGAGTGAACATATTTACTAGCATTGAATCGCTTTCCCTTTGCTCTCTCTTTCTGATATTATAACTATAATAAAGTTTGCTCTAGTTGTTAAGGTTTTTTCATACCCTCGACAAGATTCTACGGTGTTTACTGAAAATCACTTTTTTACAGTAATAACTAATAATCATCTGAATGAAACTCTGGCACTCTCTTTGTAAGTATTTCAATGGACCTTCATAATTGCTCATCTTTTCACTGTTTATCCTATGTTTTGTACAAGTTAAGATAATGGCTAACTTGAGAAACACTGAAGTGTATGTAATATATGTCAAATGGAGACAATAGACCTGAAGTAGAAATGATGACACTATATCTCATGTGAAATTGATTTAAGGACAAGAGGAAGGGTAAAAGAATGACTTGATGTTTTAGAAAGGGTATTATGGCTTGGAGTTCAGCTAATAATACTTTTGTGTCCTCGTTGCAGAGATAACAAAACATTTAAAACATCTCGTTATGTAATAGATTTTTCATGCCTTTTTATTAGCTCCTACTCTCACTTCTTCATCAAACAATTGGAGACTTGGAGTCATATCATCTTTTATTTCATTAGCATCGACAAGCTTGAATTTTGTATGGGAGTATTAGCCTCACTTTGCAAATTTATAAAGAGGAATAATAGTGGGTCCCACAAAATGTGTGGATAATAACTAGTAGTGCTTTTGAATGCGTTGTTGAAATTAATATTTGGCTTTGACTATATTTATAGACCATTTACAAATCTTTACCCAAACTGAGGCTTAGTCATCTCAAGAGCCTCTATGATTCCATCTTTCCAGATTAAAGAGTATCCTAGCTACAATTTTATCAGTTTGGTGTTTGGCCCTGCAAGTGATACTCAAAAGCGACTGGAAAAGGTACGTGTCCTTCAGCACTATGGGTTTCAATTCTTGAATTCATAAATACTCAGTAATCAGTGCATGCAGTAATATGAACCTAAAAATCAGGAAACAGGAGCAAAGATACGAGTATATGGCACAAGAGCTGATACGGGAGGGAAGGTAATGCAGCTTTTAAAAATAATAATTATTTTTTGATTATCTTATTTTGGATTTTTCATTTTTCATTTTTTTTTTGGGGGTCCAATAGGCTGAAGCTATGCGTAGCATCCTCTTTCCAAAATTTCCTACACATTAGATGTGGCTATCTGATTCCTTAACCACTAGGCCAACCTTTTGGTCTCATCTTTCATTAGACCATACATAATAAAAAACTTCAATTGATTTCTCAAACTGCAAACCAAACTTTTTGGAACTTTTTCATGTATATACTTTTTTAGTGTGTGTACAACACACTTATTTCGTTCATCTGCTGTTACGTTGGTTCAGGCGGTTCAAATGCTATTTCCGTATGTAGCATCATATTCAAGATGATTTAATTTTCTTATCACGTCAATTCAGGTTGAAGTTACTTCCAGCGATGGGAAGGAAACACATAGTGCTTATGAGGAGTTGTATATTCATGTATCAGCTGACACATATGAGAAAGTTGATGCTGCAGTGTCTTTGATCGAACTATTAGTCAACCCAGTTTCAGTATGTTCGAATTTTATAAACTTCAAAATATATATGTTTATGCTTGTTCAGTTCTAGCTCTATGCTTTGCATTTTTCTGATAATTAATTCAACTAGTTTTGCTTCGTTTTAGATGAATCTGGCTCCTGTTTCAGAAACATTGACAACGGCTTCTAGTGATAATAAATCTGATCCTTCGACTGAAGGCACACCTAGCTCCTACATGCCACCTGCAATAATGAACCAGGGAATGGTAGGATCTGTACCTGCTCCCATGCAAGGTCACTTTCCGCAATATCCACAGCCATGGTTTCCTGCAGGTCCAACTCAGATTCAAATTGATCCACGGTCTGCACTAGTTTCTTCTGCACCTTTACAAAATAACATAGCCCAAATATCTTTACCTTTCAATCCCTCGAATATGCCTTCACTGTTCGGTCCTCGACCAGGTTTGGCATCAAGTTTTGGTCGAGTCCCTCAAAATCTTTCTCTCATTCCTTCCAGACCACAAATACCCAATGTTTTACAGCCACCATACACGCATCAGGCACACCCTTCTGGTCAAATTGGCATTCCAAGAAATCCTCCCATGTCAAGTTTACAGTTAGCAACTGCTCTACCTACGCCAACAGGGGCTTACCAAATGGTGAGGCCAGTCATGAGCAGTTCAGCATCTCAAGGTGAAAACATGTTGCCAATTGCTTCATCAGCCGTTCCCTTTCAAAGACAGCATGTGGCTTCACATCCCATGGTTGTGTCCAGAGCTCCACCAGTGAATATATCAGCTATACCCTTTGCAGTGACATCTTCAACACCACCTCTTTCCCAACATGGGAATGCAAATTCTGTTTCTGGAACTGTCCCAAATTTTGAGACAACAAAACCCCTCTCTCTAGCTGTACCAAGACCACAGCAACCCAATTCCAGTGACTTCACTTTTCGGCCTCGGGGGCATCAAAATCTAGCTTCTCAGCCAGGTATTCAACCTGCACTTCAGATTATGACACTCCCAAATGAAACAATGCGGTCACCTCTAACACCTCAGTCTCCATTGATCCGGCCATTAGTGCACAACTCAAATCATCCTGTTCAGGGTTTCCCGAGACCTCTGGTCAACCATCCAATAAGTCAACCAAGACCGAAAATGCCTATGAACTTTACCCGAAGTCCCACTGCTCCTCCTGTTCCACTTAGGCATCCAACATTTCCTGCTCCCAGTGCCATTTCACCTTCTACAATCCCTCAAACACCTAGAAACTTTAATCCTGCTAATCCAATTGTCAATTCTGTTGGTCCATTTCCTCCCAGAGCAGGAAACCCAATGCACCATCAGCAAAATTATCCATCTGGAGCAACTCGGCCACAAAGATTTATGGCTCCACATCAACATTTTAGTAACAATCCTGGTCGACCACATTCTGGAGCGCAGCAAACATATGATCCCTTCTCACCAACTTCAGTTTCTTTCAACCCACATATGGGCGGTGGTACTGCCAAACTGCAACAGGAAAGTGATCCAGAATACGAGGACCTGATGGCGTCTGTGGGAGTTAAATGATTTACAAACAGGTGCACTTTTGTTTAAACTTAAAGATTTGGTAGTAAAACTGACTGTATTTTTCCAGTCCTTTAGATTCTTTTACCCTGTCTTAGTGTATCACATGAGATAATTTATCGTCATTGCTTTTTTCTACTAATTGTTGAGTGTATGTTAACATTCACTCTGTAGAGAATGAAAGACACAGTATCCCTACCAGAAAGATGTTTTTGACGCAGCGTGTATAGGCTGCTATATATACTATGAAGTAGTTGAATACATTTCTTATAATTATGACGTGAGTAAATCATGATTCTTGCCTTCATTGTACCAATCTATGGTTTCTTAAATTTCGTTTGTCATTTAGATGTCAATGAAGTTGAGACAATCCGTCAACAAATTTTGTTGGTTCTTGAAAGTTCATCTGTTGATGCCTGTAAAATTTTAGCCCATATGGAATCTTATTTGTTGCAAGCAAATAAATTCAAGTTCTTAAGAGGTTAAAACTCTTTGAGCTTTTGATGCGTAGAGGATTTCCATTATGGTCACGTACAAATCCCTTTTGCAAGAAAATAAGCGACTCGTTTAATGGGAAACTTTGCAATTCAAACAAGAAATTGTCTGATAAAGCAACATTTGATAGATACGCAGATACTTCAAATTTGGACATCCAAAAACAAGTTTAGTGCAGTAAAGTTCCACTCATGGTAAATTGGTAATATGTACATGTGATCATCATACATACAGCAGCCGTTCAAATCAAATTTAAACAGAAGGACCTGATCTGAGCACCCTTTCAAGTTTCTCAGCCTTTGCATAATCATTGTCGCTAAGAGGACCGGCAGGAAAAGGTGAGATTTCGACTATCAAGTGTGGTGTTGGGAGCTCGTCAAACAAAGCTCTAACATTGTTACAACATACACTTTCTCCATGAGCATTTTCCCTCCTAATTTGACAGCCCTAGAAAAATAATATAAAGTTAGTAGTTTTTTCAAATTATTCCTGTAGAAGAGAACAAGAAAAATGTAAAAAGGAAAGAGCAAAAAAGAGTGTAAAACATCGACGGCAAGTTTTTTAGGGAGAACTAAATAGCAAAATAAGTTAAAATCTCGTTTATCATTCTGTATTTAATTCTTTCAGTATCGCGTACCAAACATGCAATGAACTATTAGTATTACCTTGTGGGACGTGGCATCTCTAAAGTGATCATCATCCGAGAGTAAAGAAGCAATGGACTTTAGAAGACGCCTCCCTTCGAACTTGGAGGGGACCCTGTAGTTGCGCCTAAGGGTACCCTTTGTTGTCGGATGCCATTTGCTCACAAGTTTTCTTCTTTCGGCAGCATCCTTTTCTGTTTAAACAGGATAATTTCAAACATGAGAATCCGGAGCCTTGCCTAAACAAATCCACACATTTATGATCAATAAGTCTGTGTGTTAAATGAATTGACTGCTCAAATTTCTGAATTAAAATTCGCCTTACTGATTTCACAGAAATGGATCTAGAAGCAAATAACCTAGTAACACTTTACTGTCAAGGAGAATCTGTAAGGCGAAATAGTGGCATTTGCTTATTGTCGTTGGAGATGAAACATTTCACTAAACACAATAACGAACAATTATCAACCTACAACAGTGGTATTATTTCCAACTGGTTCACAACTTGTGTATATACTAACTTGTAAAAAATTGCAAGGAACGAAGTGATTTTGAAAGGGTTTAAGGCTTTGGATATGGCTTTTGGTAGAGCAGATGTGAAGAAGAATGACCATGTAGCGGTAGCAAACCTTTGTCAAGTAGATTTGACATGACTAATTCTGGTCGGTGAGAGACGGTTACCATTCTTGGAGACTACGCCTTCCCTTGGGTCGCCTCTTGAATTTACGGCACAATAAATCTCATGAAACGAAATAAAAAATCTTTACAATGTTAATACGTGTACCAACCTGATAAACAGTATTAATCGTCATGCTCTAACGCAATTCTCTTCCATGATGATAACCAAAAAGCAGGAAAGAATCAATTGTCCTTTTTTTATGAACATCGATATATAAAACATATGATCAAAAATCCATATGATTACTGCCTTTTAAATCCAGTCAAGCATAATTATAGGAAACACATATATCCCAGCTTGAAATCAGTTCTTGCCATGACTTTCCACAAGCAAAAAAAAAAAGAGTAACTGTATTTGGACTCAGCAGAAGGCAAGTCATACACACATCAAAGAGTCCATTAAGCATTACCCAACTGTTTCTTGAGCCTTTAAAGAAGATACGACCCAAGTAAACAAATATACAGGTATAGACTATAGAGAACAATATGATATTATTTCAAAGTATAAGAAATCTTCAACCTTGAGTCAATGTGCCATGAAAATCTGACTTACAAGAGCTTATAATATATGATCTAGGCTCTTAATACTGGCCTGCTACTACTCAACTTGTTTCAGTAAGACTCAGCCTGAAAAGTATAGCATAGTTCTCCAAAGAGGAAACTGCACATTTTAAAAGCACATGCTTTATGTTTCTTAGATTATATTCAATTTCACAAAGCTAAAATTCCCAATTCATGATTTTTACAATCTTGAGAAGATGTTTGGTGTGCAGTATTAAAGAGGATTAGTCACTACAACAAACAATCCTTTTCTTCCTTGATATGAATTCATATCGAAATACTTCGATGAAACTCCTTGCCCCATATTCCCTCTCCAAACTTGTGAAACTTTCAGGAAAATAAAGATGGTATAGTTAATATCGCTGCTCATATAACATCAAATAAATAAATAAAGATGGTATAGTTAATATCACTACTCATATAACATCAAACAAATAACTAATGAAACAAATTCACAAGATTTCAAGAAAAGCCTACGAACCCGGTCCACTCTGTAACTCCTCAATCCACCTGGAGAAACCAAAATCCTCAGCTCCACTCTCCAAATCTACCACGAAAAATCAACAAAAAATGAAGGAAAAACGTTAACCCACATAAGCATATACAAGAACAAATTAAGAAAAATCTCGAATTTTAATTCTACTAAAACATGGACATGGGCACAGATAAAAAAACCTGAGACAATTGGGTTAGAAGGAGATCCAGCAAGACCAGCCTTCAAGAGAGCATAGAAAATGCAAACCCTTCCCGCCCACATGATTGGGGTCTCGAGCAAAGTGGCTTTAGTGAATGTAACATTGTTGAGCGAACTCTTTCTTGTTTTAATGAACCTCCAATCAAGAGATTCAAGACTGGGCAAAAAAAGTGATTTTTGTAAGAAAATAGCAGATTTTTGGGTTGGATTCGTGGAATAAAAGTAGCAGTGATTGTAGGGATGGATTAGTGATGAAAAGATAGTGGTAGTAAGCATTGCTGAGAGGTTCACTACAAAAAATGGTAGAATTTTACTGAATTCTTTTTTGACTTTCGTTTACATATTACAGCTCTCAATGGAACAATAGAAACTGCACTGATACGATGTCGTGTCTTGAATAAATGGACAGTATATATCTTCCATTATGTGATTCAAAAGTAAATTTTATTAAAAATAAAATACTCAGTGGTCAAAAGAAAAATATTTAAATAGATGGATGTTATGTTTAACGCTTATCTATCTACATCTACAATATATTAAAAGTGGGGATCGGAATTTCGAAGAAACTTTTGAATACCACTTTTACCCCTACATATTTACCTGATTATCTATATACCCTCGTGATTTACAAAAAGGAAAAAATAAAATCGAAAGGTCTTATTAATACTTACTCTTACTTAAAAGTTTTTTAATTGACAGTTACATATGAATATATTTAAGTTTAGATAAAAATGGAATATTAAATGATTCAATTTATTACCTCTAAATAAGATAATTAATAATTATTATTGCTTTTAAAAAATTAATTCAATTAATTTCCACTGAACACAATTATAACTAATTATTAGTGCATAATTAATAAAAACATTATTATATACCACTAAAAGAAATTTTAATAATACCACATATTTAATTAATTTGAACGGGCATATTTTATTGCATCGATTAATATTAATATATAAAATTTATTTTTAAAAAATGTTACTTATACGGTTAAATTTTTTAAAACCTAATATTGCATTCCTAAACAAATAATAGCTTCAATTCATAATTGAAATGGACTAAGAAATGACTATTTTTACAATTATTAATTTAAATAAATGAGAGGGGAGATGCATGGTTACTTCGCATTAGTACATAAACTATGTAATAAACGTATTTATTTAAGACCTTTACCTATAAAAATCAACATTTCGCATTCTACTATATGCTCAAAATCCATAACTAAAAATCTGCACGAAAAGGTAAGAACTGTTAACAAAAGAAATTTGTTATGGCTAGAGCTTCTCAAAACTCAAGAATAGTCTAGATGATGCTTTTGTATGTGAATGTATCCATGTTAGGCATTGGAGTTTTGGAGATATCGATTTGCTTGAAGGTTGCTTTGATCTTTGACGAATTTTTTTATCATGCCAAAAAGATAATGTAGTTCTTTTTCTTTCTATTTTTATTTATTAATTCTTTTAGTAATGTTCATCTAAATGATGAACATAAACTACTTTTCAGTTGACGAGCGTTGTGATTTTTTATTTTATTTTTTGATTAATCAAATTTGGTTCGCATTTCAAATTAATTTCTATTATCACGAATTTAATTGTTTGAAATTTCTGTTTTACATTTCTCTATTGTCAAGAATCATTTTAATTGTATACACACATCAGTTTTGGACGTCGTAAGCAGGTGGCAGTATTGAGATTTTAATTCACTATTAATTTAGACCTAATGGGGGCTTAAATGCAAAATAAACCCTTCAAAAGAGTTGGCACGTGACCATTATGCTTCCTGTCGCCATCCCTAATCAAAACTTGAGGATACCTTATCCACTCCATTTGGATTCTATGAAAATATCAGTGCAGACACTGCCACTCCCTCAAATATAAACAAAATTTTGCTTAAATAATTTATATTTTTGAAAAGTTGAAAACTACCAGCACGACTCATTTTATCCCTCTAGTTACAAAAATTTGACTCGCACTCAAGTCGAGCAAACAACGTCTCTACAGTCAACACACTCAAGCAAGAAAATGGTTACAGTAAATAATAGTATGAACTAAAAGCGAATTTGAAAATACTTTTTCTTTTTCTCTATTTTTTGCTAATTTATAAGTACTGTAGTCTAGTCAAAAACAGTAAAGAAAGAGTACTGTAGTCTGCAAACTTTGTTTAATAACTAAACTAAATTGAGGACACTTAAATTTTTACAAATCGAACATCGCTTTGCCCAAATGGAGTTCCACAACCCGGGCACTTGCGGAGGCGAATCTCTAAATTCCTTTGGATGCACTGATAGCAAAATAGATGGTAGCACTTCGTAATTACAACCTGCCAAAATCGTAATAAAGCCTGTTAAAACAATTACTCAACAGAATTAAGAACAAAAATAGCAGAGGCAGAGGCAGCAATCAGTTGCTTGAGCCAGCAGATTGCTTTTACAGAAATCTAGATGTAGTATACTTGCCCAAGAAACTTGTAAGCGAATACAGATAGCAGTTTGATAAATTAGCAATCAGAAGACATACAGCTGATTGCTTTTACAGAAATTTAGAAAATTATGAGTGAATATGATAGCAGTCTGATTAATTAGAAATAACTATTGATGGCACAAATGGAGTACCTAAATTTGCACGCAATAGGCAGAAAACGGGTAGACAGAAGAGAAGAAAACTAGATGTGTATGCTTATTCTCGAAAGGAACCAGAATTATGTAAACTGATATGCATAGATGTACCTCCTTTGGTCGATCAAAACACACCCCACACTTGAGAATAGCTTTGCAATTCTTGATTTCATCCTGTAGTTTCTGAATTGCAGCCTCCCCACTTTCAGAAGTCATCTCAGCTACGGCTCCATTCAACTCCATGAGTTCTTCATCGAGCTTCTTTCGTTCATTTCTGTTATACAATATGTCAGGCATAAGAGTTTCTTCGTCAACACACTGTATTACGTCATGGAATTTAGACATCAGTATAAGACCTACCACTACCCATCCTTCAAACACCACATTCAAATGCTAACCTATTAGGAAATTTACAAATAGTAAATTGTATTCTATTACACAGGTGGGGAGGATCTTTTAAAGTTCTATTACACGGGTGCAATAGCTCACAAAAGGCCAGAACTAACATCGGAGGCACCAATCACCGCCACCCCCCTCCATCCCCAAACCAAAGGGAAAAGGTAACACTCCCAAAATGCGGCCCAGGCCTGGCCTCAGGCTGTGGGGGGTTAGGGAGAAGTAACTAATAAATATTTAATCCAGCAATAAATTTTCTTCAGATCAAATTCAAGAGAGTCGGAGTAGACGGTAGTTACACTCCAAACCTTAACTCCTGGGGTCCTGGGTAATAAAAATAAAAAATCACTAAAACAGAAACAGTTTTGCATCTCTACAGGTCAAACTAAGAGAGATATTAGCACTGTCCAGACTGGGGTGCCTTGGCCAAATGAATTTCTAGTTAAGTCCAGGCCAAGTTGGGATGATAGAATGCCATCCCAATTCCTGATCGCCCTAATAATTAATAAAATAGGTCTCCAAATTATTAGGCAGAACAAACCAATCAAAAGTTCACCTTTCACTGTCCAGTTCTATTTGAATATCGTTCATTTTCCTCTGGATCTGCTCATATTCCTTTTCTGATGAAGATACAGCGGATTTCAGCATCTTATATTCCTTTTCAGCATCTGCTAATTCCCATTTTGCAGTTTCTATTTTTATTGCAAGGTGCCTGTCTTCTTGGATGGTACTTAATGCTTCCACCTGGTAAAGTTTCATCTGCAAGGCCATGTATTGATTTAGATAGGATAACCACAGCTAGTATGATTGTTTACTATCAGAAAGGGAACTTACCAGCTCTTCACTTTGGGCAATCCTCGACTTTAAAGATTCAAGCAATCCATTACCCTGTTCAAGTTGCTTTTCTAAAGCCTGATTCTCAGAGAGTAATAAGTTCTGTAACTGTTTTGCTTTTACGCTCTCAGAAACCAGCTGTAATTAAATAAAGAAGAAAGAAAAAGAAGATCAGAGACTATTGTCTAGCTCAGTAAAAATAAGTGGTTTGAAAACCAAGAAGTCGCTAAAGATGAGAAGCAAGGGAAGCCATCACAACTAAAACCTTGATATTATAATCATCTCTTTCAGTAACTTGCTGCAACAGGTGCTGTTTCTGCGTCTGCATATCTTCATAAGCTTGACCAATAGTCTGTATTTCATGAACAAACAATAAACAACCCAAGATATGCAAGGAAAGGGGAGAAAAAGCAAGTAACAAAAATTCCACAGCTTGACCAGTATAGTACAAAAAAGTTTTCAAAGATTCTATTAACGGATACCTCAATTTCAGAAATATACAATGCTGACTCCCCTTCTTTGATATTGATGGCTTCCTTGAGCTCCAAAACATCCCTGCATGTTATTAGGGAACAATTTTAAGTGCAAAAATCATCAAAAAAATTCTCAATGGAGAAAGCAGATAGAAACTAGATGAGAAACTTAAAGCATGAACCTATCATGTACCGCACCGTTCTAAAAGCAGTACTTCGTTATTTAAATTGTTCAAGGGAGTGATGATTTAGACATTTAGGTTCGATTACAAATAAGTAGGAGACTTGAAAAGGATGTAATACATGCTGATCAGATATTTTGGAGAAAATGAAAAAGTGCTTCAGGGAACTGGGGATGACCAAAGCATGCAAAAATAAGCAAAGTGGGGTCAGAAAAGGTACCTCTCAGAAGCTTCTAATTCAGCCCTCAGTTCAGCTATTTCTGCATCTGCAACAGAAAGCCTCTGCTGGTATGCAGCCTCAGCTTCATAAGCTGCTCTCACTCTCAACTCTAGACCATGTTCGTCTAGCGCATTTCTCAAAATTTCAGCTTGAGATTGAGCTCTTCTTTCCGATTCATTAATTTCCATCACCCCTCTTCCTCACAAAAAGTGAAACATATTATGTTTAGATGGATAAATCTCTCTCTCACATGCACGCGCATGAATACAGAGAGAGAGAGAGAGAGCATTTGTGTGTACTTAAGTAATATACAACATATGAATAATCATAAATGTACACATACATGCACAAGTGTGTATAATGTACATATTCAGATGTATTCAAATGACAATTTCTCAACCTTCTTTCAGATAAGAGTGTGCACATCATTAAATTTAACTGTTAATTGTAATTAATCAACTTCGTGGAAGGAATAGATAGCGTACCTATTATCATATATTTGTTGACCCAGCATGTCCAAATAAAACTCAAGCTCTTGTTGTTCCTTCTGCATTTTCTCAATCTGCAGTAGTTCAACTATCACAATCACCAACATGATTTTGCTCCGCTCAAGAATTTCAAGCAATATTTCTTCTGAGATGAATTTCAGGAAGATAGAAAATCATGACTATGGCATCAAAACATACAATTTCATTTAAGGACTTGATCTCTCCGATCTGTTGAGCACATATATCAGCCAAGGCCTTCAGATCAATAGTCTGCCAACACAAATAAATAAATATATAAAGGCAGAAAACATAGTAGAATTGCAAATATTCACAGAGGTCTAAGTATACTGAGAATGGTGTCAATATATCAACCTTGGAGAAATTTTGGGCTTGAATTGGGTAGACAAGATAATAAAATAAAATTAATACCGTGATCGGGAAAATACAACTAGTTCCAAAAATTTATTTACGATAACTGGGAATCACAGATAAATCACCACTTAACAGCTTCTTGACAAGTATGTGATGATAATTACTCAGTTACTATTGAACTCGTTGAAAGCAGTTCCAATACAGCTCATGAACCTTCACTACCCACCCTTTGACAAGTTTTGGCAAACACAGTAAAATGGAACTTTTCTTCTTATTACTATTTATTTGGGGGTGGATGGTATATACGTTTCTGAAGGTAGACTATATACTACTGATGAGTGATGGCAACAAGGAGTTAGAGAAGGCAAAATCATTACATGGTGTTCAATAATTGAAGGGCTGTGTGCACCCAAGACCAGAAGATGAATGTGAAAACAATTTTATGTGCATAAAGCTATGTTCATACTCACTGTCAAAAGGATGAAAAGTTAATTGCAGTTATTTCAGAAAAGGCAGGCAAAGTAAAGCATGCTGCTTTAGCTATAAGAGTAAACCTTTCTATCCAGTAAAGAATTCAATGACTGGGCTTTCTCGCGCAAGGAGTTAGCCTCATCAGCCGTCCCCTTCCACCTATTCACCCGGCTTTCCATCATTCCCATTTCCTTCAATAAAGCCGATGCCATTACCTTGAACTCCTCTTTAACATCTTTTCTCCCTGAAGAAAGATAAAAATTTAGCAAAGCAAACCATGATGTGGCATACTTAATAATATCTGCATTAACAAGTCTACGTCATAGCCATATTGACCTGAATCTTGCAAAGCTTCTTCCATTTTTATCTCCACTTCATTTTTCTCAATAACACACTTCTGTAGTTGATGCTCTAGTTCTTCAATCTTTGACTCAGATTTATCAAGTTTGTCCCGTGCAGCATCTACAGACTCTGCTTTTATATTCAGTTCTTTTTCCCTTCGTATGATGAAAGACCTATCAGCCTGAAATTTTACTTTAGTAAAGATCAGATTCTAGGAAAATCCTTACAAAAATGTGATATAAAGTAGCTTACCTGCAAAGACTCTGTCGCCGCTTTATAACGTTCTGCCTCAGCATTCCAGTGCTGGAGCTGATCAGTCAGTAAGGTGTAAGGACGAGATGATAATACATACTTGTCTTCCTTCAGTTCATTCTACAAGTCAAATAACAGAATTTGACAACAGAAATTAAGCCACATAATGGTCAAAGAAGTTTCAAATACTAATCTAAGAAACTTAAATCAACCTGAAGATCCTGCACTTGTTTTAACAAGATCATATTGTCCTCCTGTGCCTCTTGAAGCTCAGAAAGGCGATCCTCTGCCAGTACCTACATCGAATTTAACTTTAAAAATACATACATGCAAAAACATACATTATAAATATATGTGGAGAGAGAGAGTGAGCGAAGAAGTTAAGCGGAACCAGTCAAAAATAAATACCTTTACTTCCTCGATAGACTCTTTTGCTTCCCTTAAACGTTTTGACCTATCTGAAGGCTTTTCAGGAGACATAGTTCCATTCTCTACACCTAAAACAGGAACTGGGATGGGAACCTGTACCCCAGATGCCCCGTCTTTCTGCATTTTCAGATTAATCAGTTTTCTTCTGCTTTCTTCAAGATCTGCCATGCTTTCTTCCAGCTCACCTTTGGGAATAGAAAAAATATGCAGAGTCAGAACCCAATCAAATATTTTGACTTACATAAACACACATAAAAGCCAACAATATATTCATGCAGCCAGATATCAGTTACCCTTCATTTCGAACTAAAATCTACTACCAGTAGTATGACCTAGTGTGCAAAAACCTTGAGTGTCGATTTGGGAGGGGCGGGGGAACGAATACCTGCAAGACGCTTTATCTCAGATTGATCCACTGAATGGTTATTGATGCAAGTCTGAATTTCGTCTGCATATTGTTTATGCTTCAAATGAAGAACATCAATGGCCTCGTGCAGATGACCAGCCTCCTCTTTCATTAAATCATCCAGCTTATGTAATTGGATGATAGCATCTGTCAATTCCAAATTGCAAGCAGTTTCTTGTAAAATACCATTTAACTATAAATATGTGAGTTCATGGGCACAAAAGGAATGAAGAATAAAAAATTGGCCTTCTACTCAAGGTCTCTCCTGACCTTCTGCGGATTGGTTTCCCTGCAAAATCTGAGTGATGTCCTCCAGTTTGGCTCTCTGAGCAAAAATAGTATCTTCCAGTAATTTCATCAATTCGCTTGTAGAAGCCTGACGTGATGCAAGAGCTTCTTTAATATAATTAATTGATCCATCAGCTCCATCCCTTGGAATGGAATTTTTTTGTAGTAGCCTACAAAGGAACATGTCCTCCGGAGGACATGATGGAATTGAACCTACAGACAGCCAGCATCTTTAGTATATAACATAAAGAGTTTAATCCTGTTCATTACTTCAAAACTGAACTAAAGTAATCCTAAAATACACACACATACCTCGAGAAGAATCAATGCGATCTAAGTGTTGTAAAGCACTTTTGCCTGCCCCAGCTCGCACTCCAAGTAAAACTAAATCTTCATCTAACTGCACAAAGTCAATAAAATGAGCCACTAAAGAATGAAAATCCTATAATATAACATAAATATAGTCAAACAGAGAGATTATACAAGAGGGCCTGTGTATGAGTTACCTGATTCCATAGCTGATTCACTTTAATCAGCATATTGTCATAAGAAGCTTGTTTGTCTTTTAATTCCATGATTTTGGCTTCTAGATCATGTAACTCTTGCTTCTGTGCCTCTAACTGCTGAACAAGTTTATGGTTCTGGTATTGAAGTACTGCAGCATCAACCTGTCAAAGAACGAATTTTACGATAAGCTAACTGTTCTCCTACTCTCCCTCCTTTCATTCGTGAATGGACCAACCTGTGCATATGTACATATAGCAACCGTGCACTAGGACTCACTTTTTAATAGAAAACACAACCACACAATTCAATACAGGGAACCTTAATAAAAAGAAGTCAATGGAGAGAATTTATGCCCAGCGCCTTATTTTATGAGCTTTAGTGAAAATGTGAAGACAAGGACAAAGAAAAAGATAAAAAAGAAATGGTTCTTTTCTGAAGATGCATTTGTTTTCTTTCCAAAAGAAACAACGCAGTAATTATGTTCTTGTCTTAAACCTTACTCACTTCCATCAATCGCAACCATGTGTTTAACAATTATAAATAATTATATAAATCATAAATGCTTGTAAGAGTGTGAATGCATATACATGTATCCCACATGAAAAATCATCTGATACGCAGCATAAAATTTCGTAATTCCACAAACCTGGATTGCTTCCTACAATTAAGACATCATAAATGTATAGAAAACATCAAATTAAACAAATTATGCTTATAAAATGTCAAGTTGTCATAGCTGGAAAGATGCCTTGTCAAAAAGGACACAAGATAAGACTGTTAAAAATGATTTCAATGAACATATACTCTGGAGTCTAGGAGGCTTCAAGTTTAGTAAACGTGATGAACATAAAAATATAAAGTAATAAGCCAATAAATGTTTTAATGATTTTTTCCATATATTCTCATACAGGAAAACAAGCACAGCTGTAAAAAATAAATAGATTACTAAGAATGAAAGCTAAATGACAATTTACGTTTCAAGAGAGACATTAAGAGTATTGCTTCATTTCAACTGATGGTGTACAAATTTTATGTAACAATTAAACAAATTTACTCGCATCCAGTTAGATTGGGGAACCTAAATCTGGAAAATGATCTAAGGATTGAAGATTCAAATGTCTAGAAAATGCTAGATTTGTGAGATCCGTTGAGGGAATAAAAAGGACCTTTGCAAAATCAAAATCTATGCCTAAGTTTAAGTAAATATAGCTTATGAGGCAAATTAGAAAACATGATATTGAGCAAACACACCAAGATCAGAACATCAAAACTTTACAAAGTTTAGAATTTCTACCGAATTTCAAGTTCTAGGAGGGCTGGTTATTTGCTCATCCACTTCATTTTTCCGAGTGCTCATATATGATCAATAAAAATTAAGGGATTGTTGAATGGTGGCAGTTTCCTACCAGGAATGAAGCATTTTCAGTAAGGTGAACAATGTATATGCCAGAGAAAGAGAATGCAAGAGACCGGAAGAGAGATTGAGCAATGAAAAGAGACCAGATTATAGAGGATTAGGGCCGGCGGGACTCTCTCTAAATGTACGATCTAAAAATTGAAAATGACAGCTAAAATCAAGTATTTAAAGCACGTATTGTGGGCCTTAAGTCCATAAGGCTTAGGAGCAGGGCATAAAATCCAAATGACTCGTGATGTTGATTCATTTCTAAAATACTGGGTCATTAATCAGAAAACCATATGATCCAAATATCAATAGCCAAATGGCCTTTTACAACATCAGATAGAAATGTTTAATGATTTTCAGGTAACAACCATAAGAACGTTACAATTTAGGTCAGTTGTTTATTGTAAAACGGTAAAAAAAAAACAAATAAATAAATTTAATTTCCGTAATGGGTATCCAATTTCCACCGTGTCACTGCAAGTGTATGCAATTACAACAATATGAGAACTTCAGTAACAAGATATAATTAAATAGCAAAATAAATCCATGTGAATAGATGGTTGTCGACAGGAATACACATTTTCATCCTTTGAGAGACAACATACAAGACAAAGGTGCCTACATAAAAAGTCCAACCTTTTGGAGGCTATTTAGAGTTCAATAGACACTTGTGAAACTATTTTGTGACTTTCAGAAATAAACTTTCATATTTTCTCCGTTACGAAGGGACAGTAGGAACATCTTGTGTGAGAATCTCTTTGAATAACAAAAAATGGATGTCGCGTGTCCAATGAGAAAAGCTAGGTGCCTTCATAAATACCATGTAAATGAAAAGAGTATTTTACGCTAACTCTATAAGGAAACTCTTCAAGATAAAGCAACTCAATGGAAGTGTGAAACCCATAGGCATTTCAGACACGTGGTAATTTAAGCTTCCATATTTGTGTATTGCTCTCACGAAACGCCATTCTATTGCAGAAACATAAAAGTCACCTTTGTTAACATTGACTGTCAACGAAAACTAAAATCAGAACTTTCTTATTCAATAAAAGTAAATTCATAACCAGGTCCAAAATGAGATCAATAACAACAGTGTTTACGTGGGATTCCCCGCCAAACTTGAAATGAAGATGTGCGCATTGCTTTACTTAACTGAGATACCCAGAAACTACACGGCTCAGAAAAAGAAAAACCCAAACAATCAGAACATGTTCTGGACTTTATTGTGCCACCGAATTTAGATCATAAATTTCATTCTAATGCTCATAAAACATAATCAACACACTTCTAATACCTAATTTTGTCCATTTCAATAAGCGCCAATTATTTAAGGTAATCAAAATCAACCCATTTCTAAAACCCTAGGCCCGCACTAAATTCAATTAACACCCCCACAAAAGGATTCAAGAAAATCTATTGATGATAATCAAGAGAAACAATTCAACAATTCCATATTACTAATGTGCACACACAAGCATTTGCATATACATGAACTAGAGGGACAAAGAACGAATTCAGGATTTTTACGGGTTTGTTGTCGTCTGACGAAGACGAAGAGTTGCGAGCCATTGACGAGTTTTCCTGGTTGTTGTTGAGGTGCGGGCGCTTTTGTTGTGGTTCTTCTGGTGATGATTCCATTTACGCCAGAACTGAAACCAGCTTCTTCCCTGTATCGATAATCACTGTATATGAAAATATAACCCGAACCATCACAAGAATTGAATTACTTTTTCTCTGTGATTCTAATGAATGAATGCGTATATATACACACAATTCAAGTGTACACAGATTGATTGTTTAAGCTGTGAATTTGCTGTAATGATAACCCTAGAGTGAAAACCCTGTCAGCAAAGGGCTGTGTCAGAGCTCTCAGTATTTTCATTTTGTGATTTGTGTGCGTATTTATATGAAATTATATATTTTTATTTCTTCGAACTTCCACGCTAGAATTTTGTGAATTATTTATTATCTGACTTGAAAAACAGGATTAAACTTTACAATATATTTTTAACTCTTTTTACGTGAGTATTGTCTAATTTATCTTACTGCGATTTATCCGTGATATGATATTGTCTACCATATTGCGATTAATTCAATACGTGATGCATAAGTAATTGATAATATTTATACGATGCTCTTTTTTCACATTTTGTTTCTATAATTGAGCAGTTGTATTCTTCTGAACAGGAAAACGAGGTATCTCAATAATTGATATACGTTATAATTATAAGAGTACCGTAAATTGTTAGTCGTTCCACCTTGTTGCCATTTCTGCCAATTTCTTCTAACAAGCACTATGGATTTCATTAATGGGCTCTACCGAGTCAAATGCATATGACAATAGAGGTTCTACAAGAGCTAGAGTGAAAGGAGAGATGGAGTAAAATACGGTTGGGAATAGACGCAGGGTCGACTCCCAGTTTTGTTCTCTCTGTCTTCAGTTTAGCCTTCTTTTCCTTCATCGTGATAGGTCATTTTGTTAGGGAAAAAAATTCAATTTCAAAAATCAGATCCAAAGTTTATTTATACAAAAATCAGACATTAATTCAAATCTTTAATACTATCCAAACCCTAAAAATCTTAAAATCTCAAATCAATACCCTTATCTTCCTTCTCTCTCTCTCTCTCTCTCTCTCTCTCCCGCCGGAGGCTCGGTTCAACAAGTAAAATAAAGCGTGCTACGGCTTCAACTCCGGCAACGATGCCTCGCGTGGCGTTGCGACTTTCGCGAACCACACGTGTTGTTGCTGCTCTCTCTCCCCTCTCCATTAGCAGATGCTTGTGGCTATGCCTGCCTTAATCTTTAACGACTACAGCTCGGTTGGATATTCTCTCCTTCTGAAGAAAGAGAAGGCAATCATTGTGGAGCCTGATCGCGCGACAATTGCTAATGGACCTGCATTTGGATGTGTTTTAATGAAGGATTTCTTCGTTGCTCTTGTGAAGAGGCTTAAGTGTAATATGACTGCTTATGAGAATTACCGTAGGATCTATGTTCCTGATGGCGATCGTCACAACCGTTGCAAATATTAAGTTTTTTTATTCTCTCTTCTTCTTCTTTTTTTTTTAAATTTTGTGGTGGCCAGAGTTGGAGATTGATTTCTAGTGTATTGAAAGTGCAGATGGCGGTGGCGAGTTTGGGAATTTTCTTAGCGGTTGAGGTGTGGTATAGTAGAGGTGGAAAAGATGGTGGATTTTAGAAAGTGTTGGTGGTGGTTACTGTTGTATGTTGTGGTGGCTGCTGGTGCAGGCGGTGATGGTGCAGTTGTGGTTGGTTGCAGTTGTAGGTAAAGGTTGAGGTGGTGGTGGTGGTTGGAGCCGGCTATAATGGGATGGGATCAGTGACAATGTGTGTGGTGATGTGGTAGTTCTACAAGTGAATCAGATCTGTGGTATGTTTTGATCGGGAGGTGGTGGTGGTTCTAGCGGCGACGGTGGCGATGGTGTTGTTAGATGGAGTGATGAGGTGATAGCACAAGTTTTGGTAGTGGTCGCAAGTGTTAGTTGTGGTCACAAATTTTTTGGTCGTTTGTGACCATTAAATTCATTGATTTTTGATAGATAAACAATATGTGACCAATGAAAAATATAAATTGTGACCATGAAATAATGTGTTACCTAAAAAAATTGTTAATTTGTGACCGATATTTGACAATTTGTGACTGTCTATTAAGTTGTGACTTATAATATTTGTGATTTGTGACCGATAAATAAGTTGTGATGTATAATTTTTTTTTATTTGTGATCGATGAACAAATTGTGAGTTATAAAATTTCTGAATTGTGACCTATAAAATTTCTGAATTTTGACCGTAAAATAATTTTTGACTCATAAAATTTTTGATTTGTGCCCGTAAAATAATTTGTGACGTTTCAATTTTTTATTTGTGACCGATGAACAAATTGTGACCTATAAAATTTTTGAATCGTGACAGTAAAATAATTTGTGACATGTAAATTTTGTGATTTGTGACCAAATTATATGGAACCGTGACCTTAATATATTTAAATAATAAAATACATGTTTAATTAATTAATAAAAATTAAAAATATCTGAAATTTGTAATTTTAAACTTAAGTTCTTAAATTTGAAATTGGTAAAACTAAACATCTTAGTTATGTATTGTTCCCATTTTGAAATGTGTATAGTGCCTTGTTATAATTTGTTCAAAAAATGATAATGGGCCTAATAATGGGATAACAAGGGATAAATTTCGCCCAAAACTGATTGAAAAGAAATGGAAGGAAATCTTTGCACATGCGTTCGCGTGGGCTATTTGGCCATGCATACGCGTGGCACCCATTTCAGGAAACTGAGGCCAATTTCATTTCGCAATGCTCACGCATGGTGATATATTTGGCCATGCATACGCACGGCACCCATTTCAGAAAACTGAGGCCAATTTCACGTATGGCTTATTACCATGCGTGCGCATGGGGATAAATTATAGCTGATTTTCTGACTTGATTATTAGCGACTTCTCATTAAAAAAAAAAAAAAGAAAACTCGACTTTTCATGTAATGATGGCACTATTTTGTGGATGGTGAATTGAAATTTATAAATAGGTGATGAATTTCAATTAGTAACATATCAATCATCAATTAAAAACCATATTATAGTGCATTTGATTCAATTCATTTACTATTCAAAACTGCTATAGTATTCTTCAAGTTTGAAAAATAAATATTGGTGTTTAAGTGCTTTCTTCTTCAAGACTTAATTCAATCCTACAAACCATTTATCGTGAACCCATTTAAGCACTGTATTAATTCTAGAGGGGCAAGTATTGTTTGAGGAAAACGATCACGTGTTTGAGCATTTTACCATATTTTGGTGTTCTTAATTATACTTTCTCTCTTGATTCTCTTCCTCCATTCTCTTTGAATTATATTCCAACAACATTGTCATTATCAACAATTATGAGTCATAACAATTATCGCGATGTTCTGTAATGGTAATTTGAAAAAAATAATAATACATCAGTGATGTTAGTACACCAATCTATGTAACATAATGTTATATGTTCAATTAAAGTAAAATTAAGAAATTCATTTAATTGTATCTTTTATTTAATGAAACTTAGTACCACATAAATTGATGTTATAAAATCAGTTGTGCTAAGTAATATTACTCTTTTTATAAATAAAAAAAAAAACATGATTCGTCATAACCAATTGAACCACAATTCAAGAAACATTACATCGATTAGTCATAATGAACCACTTAACCATCAATTATTATCTAAACATGATTTGTCACAACTAATTGAAATTACAATTTACGAAACTTTACACCAGCTAATCACAACGAACTACATAACCATCACTTTTTTTCTAAACACGAGGGTTTCTCACAAACACGTCTTTGGCTTTTTGTTCCTCAAATTTTGCGGGTTCTATTATAATCTTGTTATCGTATCAACCCTTCTAGTAATTTCCGTGGATGGATCCATCCAGGGACGTAGTCAGGATTTCAATCTTGTGGAGACAAAAATACTGGGATGGAGGGGGGGGGGGGGGGGGGGGAAATTTTTTTNTGATCTTTCAAATGCAACTTCTCTTGATCTTTCGACTCCAATTTGTGTAGTCCAGGATCACGTTCCAGTGAAGATGAATCGAATTCCTCATTCTGATGAGAAGAATCAACAACATATGGTTCTTGACCAATGTTATCTTCCGAAATAAGAGATTCAAGATTAGAGGTAGAAGCTTCCTCAAAAGTTCCTTTTTTGAAATATGAATCAATCTTCTTCATATTGTAAATATTCCCAGTAATACAAATTAATTTCAATACCCACTACTCACAATATAATTCAAATCAGTACTAAAATTCAATGTTCAATTCAATCGTCTGTTGCACAGAAAAGAGATTTTAGGAAGAATGGGGGGTGTCTGTAGTCAGAATTACATTTTGTGAGTTGTGGCATGTGGATATGCTTTTGGGTAATTGATTAATGGATCATTTGTTTTCGGATTGAATTTGGACTATTTATTTATTAAAGAAACTATTGGATCTTCTATTTAGGTTTAAGATTTTTGTATGGTTAAATTTTAAAGTGTAAGTTATTGGGTCAATATTTATTAATGGAACAAAAAAAAATCAAAATTTTGCTGGAGCAAAGTTGAAAAATACATTACAAATTAATTAGGAATAGTGAACCAATGGACAATGTTGGGGGGCCTTCCCCCCTCCCTCCCGCCCCTATCTTTGTCTCTGGATCCGTGTGCAGATTTACTTGGGTTTTGATGACCATACATCAATTTTTATTTTTATTTTTATTTTTTTCACTCTTTCCTATTTGTAACATTTGTTTCCTTCCACTTTGGCCTCCCAACTTCTCTCAAACTCAAATCTCAATCTTCTTCCAATATCTTAGTTTGCTATTTTTAACATATAATTGTCTTTTCCTACTCAGCTCATTTGCATCGATGTCAATGATCGATCACGTTTCTTTCTCTTATCTCAACACTAGACTTTTAAAGACCCTCAATCCGCAGTTTGAACCACGCAATTAGATATGAGATTTGACAGTTGAATGATAGTTTAGTTGTGTACATTAAGGATGATGTATTACTGATATCGATGTAATTATACCATAATCTCAAAATATAAAATAAGTATGCAACATTTGTAATAA